TTTTAATAATTATATATAATTTCTATATACAAAAATAAATATAATCTACTTTGAGAAATCAATTTTCTGCTAATTAAACTATTCATGCTTTTCTTAAAATAAATATTTCACGATATTCCAATTTAAGAATTAATCATCTTCTTCTAAAACTGTCCTTCCATTCTCACGAAAATTATTTATATGTTCTCCATAGTAAATCTGAAGTCTCTCTACATTTATGGCCTTAAACATCGACGTTATTTCGGTCGATCGAAATCCTCTCACGTCCTGAACATCATCTATTATGCTAATTTCGCTCTAAAACGAAGACACTGTTCGTGAAATAGAAATTACACGATGCACAAAAGAAAAACCTAATCTTTTTTATCGCGTTTTCATCAGGTCGATAGTTTAATCGCGTCTTTCATTTGCAACGAGATGATACAAAAATGTAGAGAATTAATACCACATCGATTTTCAATAAAAATTTCACAATACGTTTCGTGGAAGCTAAGAAATTATTTCAATGAACGGATCTTAAGGGATGAAACGTTTTAAAGAAGTATTTTAGTCTAGATATTTATCTTCAAGTGAATTTTGATAAATAAGAAAAATAAAAATTGAACGCTGATTGAATTCATTTATTTAAATGTCAAAAAGGAAATATTAGAAGTATCTTTATTAAGAAATATTTAAATATTTATTTTTAGTAATAATTTAGTAATAATTTAAAAAGACGAATTTTATGAATTTTAAACATTAACAAATTTATCATTCATTTCGGAGAAAACTTAAAACTTTCAAAGTTTTTAGATCTCAATTGTTTAAAAATTTATTATACAATTGTAATATCATTTTCATCAATTCATTTTAATATTTTAAAACTTTTATACTTTCAAAATCATACATATATATGAAAAAATTGTGATCAAATCAAATTTTCGAATTTCTTAGACTAAAATACTTTTTTAACTCCCATCTTTGCACGAATATTACTTTATCATACTCTCTACGTATTCTTTGACGATTCGAGTGCTCTCGTTTATGAAGATACGATAAAGATCAAAGAGGACAATAAATTCAATTTTATGACAATAAAGTATCCAAGTATTATTTAAGAAAAAAAAAAAAAATAGAAAAGCAGCGAAGATAAAATACTATTTTTTCTTTTCTTTTTTTAATTTTAAATGTAAAACGAAATTAATTTCGTGAAGTTCATTATTTATAGGATTTAATTTTATATATGAATTAATATTACAAAAAATTATTCTATACCTATGTAGGAATTTTTCATTAATTATTAATTCTAAAGGATAATAACAATACTAATAGTAGGATGTTCGATAAAACCTCACTTACATATCAAAATTTCCATTTCATGAAGCATTATAACAAAAAAATCATTCGTCATATAAATTTTTTTAATTACATATGATAAAAATATAACATAATCATATACATTAATTGTCGAAGAATTTTAATGATCTAAATATACTTTATACAATGTTTACCCCCCTTCCCCCCATAGTTAATTAGAAAGAATAAATAATTCAACTAACAATAATAAATAATAATAAATTTTAAAACAAACGATAATGTACGATTTTTAATAAGACATTCTTATGCTATTGGTACGTGAATAAAAATTATGTTATTTAACTAAAAATCATAACTATAGAACCAATAGCATAACTCTATTTTTTCCTTATTTTTTCATAAAACTATATTTTTATAAATATTGAAAATATATAAGATATATCAAAAATAAGAGATAATTATTTCATAACTTTAAAGAAAAATTACTGTTATATTTGTATCTTTGTTTTTATTTTTAATTATATAGCACATAGCTTTATGTGTTTATTGACCATTATTATTTACTACAGGATTAAATTTTTTTTTAACAATTAATACCTATTCAAAATATGGTATTAATCTATAAAAAAATATATAACATGTAATTTATGTGATAACATATGATAAAATACTACTACGATGTTCCAGTAAAAAAAAATCATACAAAGAAATAGAAATGCAAATACGAGTCTCCACGAGAATTTTTTGACAAAAATCATGACGGTTCGTATTCAAAGAAGCTAACGAAAAATCGCAATTATATTTATCTTATGCATTTATAATTTTGACGTAAACTTCGTTTGGAAATAAAAAATAAATAAAAAATGCTAAATTTGAAAATACTGTAAAAATGTTTGCGAGGTAACAAATAAAATTATCTCCTGAGAAACTCAAGATTCGCTCTTTCAAAAATGAAAACAAGTTTAAACCTAATTAAAAAAATTAAAATTTGTGTATAAAGTATAATTGAAACACATATGTTAATTACACGTAGATATATTTGGAAAATATCTCACGCTATAATTTATCAATAATTATTATTAGTGAATAGACAAGCGATAAGTTGTAGATTATGATCTTTTATCTTTGTTTTCTATCTTTTGCACAAACAATTGTTATAATTTCATAATTTTAAAATCAAGACTATTAACTATTTTACAATTTGCAAGAACTTTATCTATTTTACATTATCCATTTTATTACTATAATACAAGAAAACACTGGCAACTTGTGGTTTGTCAAAATTCACTAATAAATATTTAATCAATTGTGCAAAAAAATTAAAAATTTCATTTGTAACTTGATAACAAAAAAAGAGACAAATAAATCCGTGACTTATTATTAAATGAACGAGGTATTCAAATAAAAATTACATTCTCATGATAAAAATAAACCATATAGCTGCAGTTGAAACGCAAATATAATCTGTTGAAAATTCAAAACGATGTGTCCGCAAAAATAAGTTGTAAAACGCAACGATCAAAAATATTTCTGTACGAAATATAAAACATAACCGACGACTAATTAAAAGATTTTCATTAATTGCGGTTCTCGATCAATGGAACTCATAACTCGACTCGACGGGCTTTGACACAGCGTAAACTTTGTAATTTCCATAAATCCGTTTCATTTCGTGGCCGATTGCCGAGGGGCCGTCCTTTAACACCCTCTGCCGGACAGGATTAAAACTATCGTTGTTCCAGCCTGTCAGTTGCAAGCCGCGTGAAAATGCATTCGACGAAGCGTCCAATTTTGAAATTAATCGCGACCAGTTTCGTTTAACCGGCACGGACATTGTTCACCCTGGTAAAATTTTAATCGACGATCGACGATTAACACGACGGTGCGACGAGGAAGGAGGAAGAGAGGATCAACTCGAATTCGTTCCACGCGAATCGAATCTCGTTTCGTTCGACAAATTCGCGATCGTTGTACCGTGAAAAGAAACGAACGTTAAATCTCCGCATCCGTTACAATGCCAGATTTCAGCCAGATCTGGTAATCATCGAAACTTGTTCCACCAACGCGCGCTGGATTTCAGATTTGCACGGAATTCCCGATAGATTTCCACTTTTTTACCGTCTATAGATCTATGGACCATTGCCCTTCATTCCTCTTCCTTTTTCCCTTTTGTCCTTGGCATATCGTGCACGCTGGTCACGCAACAACTGGCTCGTAATTTCGCTCCAAGTGACAAGTAGCGCCGGAGAATGTATTTTCTCGACATTTCTAGGTCTCCTAGGTGGCATGTTGATCATGATCGTGGTAATGAGAAAATCGAGACCCTCGTGGATTGATCTATAAATTATTTAGATATCCTATGTGGTTGAAACTGGAATCATGTGTGGGTCACGATAATGAGAAACGTGAAAGAACCGCGAGGAGGAAAAGGCGAGAGTGCGATAGGAAAACCTGTGGATCGTTGAAAGCTCTGAAAAGTCAACCGCGAAGATCGACGAGACACTTTACTCGAATGAAATACTTCGAATACGTTACGCGTTTGTATATATGGCGCTAATTAAAATGAGATATTGACTCGTCATAGCTAGCTATTATCCTCTTTTATTTGCAGATTATATTACGATTTTATGTAACCATTTTATTATTAGATTACTTTTGATTTAATTAAATGATTATTTTATTAAATTATTTTTCATTCCATATTTATTTTATGATTTAAGAATGTATCGAAGTTATTTTGGAGACCTAACTATATCTCTGACTAGCAGTATACTTTTTTTAAAATATTCCGATTTTTACAATCGTCATCATTAAAAAATATACTTTCCACGTCACATTTTGCTATTCAATTTTCAACCACCTTTTAAAAAATAATACTATTCTATTTTATAGAGCAAATCAATTCGATATAACTTAAATAAACAGATGAAGTTTGTTTTTTTTATTTAAACCTCTTTCATAATCATCGACATATACATGTGTAGACGTGGATAAAAATTTAATTGCATTTTGACGAATGGGATGATTCAGACTTCATCTTTCATTTCTTAAGTGCTCCACTTCTAAAGTTTAATAGGATGAAAATACTGGTCGAATATAACATTATATCCACTGGAATAATATTTTTCGCTATAACATCCCAAGTGTTTGAAATGAAGAACCTTTGAGCGTAATAGAGATTATAAAATATTTCAGATGGTTGGTATGCCATTAACAAATAAAGGTTTGCGAAACTATGGAGGCTAGGGAATTCAGATATTGGCAATAATCATCAAAGAATTGAGTAACAAGGATATTAACCATTATTCTTGAGATCATCTCTCTCGATATTGTACGATAACGATTCTATAAGGCTATTAAACTTTTTAAATCGCGTATTTTATATTAAATAATTGAAGGAGAAAAATAATAACGATTATTATAATAAGAACAAAAGAAAATAAAATCAGTACGTAAAATAATAACAGTATTTTCACAAAAAAAAATTTATATCCACATTTTGGATAATCAAAAACATTGTAAAAATCCCAAATGTGAAAATTTTAATGGAATAATTAATAAGATAATAAAAATTCCAATCCCCCAATGAAAGAAAGATCCCAAAAGCAATTTTTAAACTTTCCAACCATCTTTCTAATTACATATATTTCCACATGTAAATGTATGTTTTTTTAAATACTATTCCAAACGAAAAATTATGATTCTTTTTTCAAACTAATTCATAAACAATAAAAAGAAAAGAATCCCCCAAACATTTTTCCAAATTTAAATCATCTTCTAATCCCACCAAATAGGATAATATCCAATCACTTTTTCAAACATTAAAACGAACAAATTTCCACGTGTACACACACACACACTCGTGTGTGCATCACGAATATCGCGACAAGACATATTCGTGTCTCATTCACGTTTAATCTTTCGAATAAAACGGAATCCATTACGCACGCGAAGAATACGACGCGCATGAGTCCAGAGCATTTCCATTTATATTACCTTATCGTTGCTCTTCCAGCCTGCTACTACCCTTTCCCCCCTTTTACCTGGATTCCTTCTTTCTCTCCTTTGTTCCTCTTCCTTCTTCCTTGTTCTCGCGCTCACCTGATCGTCGACGAATTTCCGCCTCACTCCTGACGAAGGACCACGGTGAACACACACTTGCTCGACCAACCTGCTTCATCGCTCGCCTCGTACTCCACTCTGTGGCCACCGACGTCGAAACGTCGTCCAGGACTCTGAAACATAAAAAAAAATGAAGTGGTTAATATTAGATAATAAATACCATGTTGAATCTAATATTGTACAAACGAGAAACTTACTGCTGATTTTTTTTTAAATTTATTTTATTCATATACTTTTCTTATAGTATCTTGTAAATTTTCTCCAATAAAATCTTATATTTTACAGTGTTTTCTAATGTATTTGATATAATTAATAAATAGAAATAGTTTAAAATATTCTATTTCTGTATTATTTTATTTTATTTTTAAAAAAAAATATAAAATAAAACATGTTTTCGTTTATTATGTATTTTTCTAACATTCTACAATTTTATATAAATTTAAAATGACTAATGAATTAGTTATGTTTGCAAATTGAATAAGTTGTTTTAATCATGTGCATGTAGTTCTTGCTTATGAATTAATGAATTTCCAGTGACCGTTCATAAATCAGAGATTCAAAGTTTATTAGAAATTATATTATAAACGAAAATTATATTCATAAAAAGGAATCTGTAAAATATAAAATGAACATTAAATGATAGAAAAAGAAAAAACTTTTACGCGTTTAATTCAAGATTTTTAGATTTGCAACAATTTTGAGATTTTAAATCGTAATCACAACTTAAAATAAAAATTCCCACTCGAAAAAATTTATAAAAATAAGAACTATTTCTATTTATTAACTTATTCTGTAATACTTTTGCAATATTTAATAGCAATATTTCATTTTCTAAAAAAATAACTTTCTTTTTTTATTCTCTTTTATCCTTACATACACACATTTGCTCGTGTTTCAGCTGCGGTTTAATTCAATTGGATCCACCTTGAAGCACGAAAGAAGGTTTAGAATGCGTGTAAAAAGAGTAAAGGGTGGCCGGTATTGAGGCAGCTTCATATTCTCTCTACAATGTTACTTAATCGTAAAACACGATTTACCATTACCAAGTTAGTTTGTAAAACAAAATTGTTACACGATATTTGCATAGAAACATGGATTCTCCACACAAACTTTCTACAGCGCAGTTTAAATTCTCGTCAAACTTTCTACAGTTTGCTCTGCGAGCTATTCTAAACCGACACACGAGGTCAAATCGACATCGATTACTATGACACATCGATTTAATAGATAATGAAAACTGTCATTCGTTAGATGAATCATATCGATATCGTTATGATCGAATCATATCTAGCTCGCAAAATTTTTCCATTCCTCTTTTGTCGTTTGATACAAATTTTTTTGAATACAATATATTCGATGATCATAAGAATGATTTGTTTTTTTTTTAATATTTATTGTGTTATTCTTCAATCGAGAATATAAATATTCTGTCTTTTTTTATTGCAAACATTAATTGCATTGCTACTTTTTCTCTTTTTTCTTTGTTCTTTTGTTAAATTGTTATACGAAATTCATTAAATTATGAATAAATTATACCATAAGAATTGTTTGATAAGAAGAACCATAACCGCGAAATTTTTATTTTTTTTTTTTTTTTTTTTTTTTTTTTTTGAGATTTATTAAGTAATTTATTAAGTAATTTAATCTTTAAATATTGATACTTCCTGTTTGTTTCAATCCACTATCTTTATAACTTTGAATTCAGTTTTATGTATTCAGTTTTATCATTATTTATGCAAATGAGGAATATCCTTCGTGTTTAGTACAGAAAACCTGTTTATATAAAACAGATAATATCTTTAAAATTCATATATGTAAATAAAAAATTTATTAAGAAATAAAAATTAATTTATGCAATACAAGATTAAATTTCACCACACAATATGAAATAATAGTATTGATATGAAATATTGAAGCAAATTACGAAAAGGATGAATGTACGATGTTCCTCTTATAATGAAATTTCTTAAATTTATTCGTTGACGTACAAAGATACCGTATTCTACAGTAAAATTCTTTAGCAATAATTGTATTGGTAAAGAATATTATATAAATATTCATTATATAAGATATTTATTAATTATATAAAATACCGAATTGATTTCAATTTGAAAATTTTACATTGATTTGGATTTACACTATAGATTTTTCATTTAACGATTAATGAAATAATAATTTAGGATTAATTTAAGTGATTGCAGTTTAAATTTGAATATTATCATTCTACTTAAATATTAAAAAAGAAAAATGAAAAATAATCTTGGCAAAGATTTATAATAATGAAGAAAAAATCTTTTAGATAATAAAAATGAAAGAAAAGAAAAAAAAATGTTATTAAAATAATTAAAAATAAATTTCCTCTTTTTTTTTTCTTTCTTCTATTTTTGTCACACAGCATAATAAATCCAAAATAGATAATGATAATCGAACAAAGCAAATGAGCATATATGAATGTAGTTTTTTTTTTTTTTTTTTTTAAAATTAATGCACTCTTCGAAAGATTCCAGGAATATTCAACGAAATATTCTCAAATTCTTTGATTAATTCCTATAAAGCTTTATCAATTGGATCGACTATAAAGCTGCGATGCGTATGAAATTAATAAAAACCGCATGGAATTTCACACTGATCGAGATTCATGCGATTGCTGAACAAGAGAAATGTTTCACGCCATTATTAAGTAAAATGGAATGAAACAAAGAGACTCAAAAATCGATAAATGATCTGTTATCATATATACGATCTATCCTGTGTATCATTTCAAAATTTTAAGTTTTTGAGTTTTTTAATCTTGACGTTTAATTTAATTAAATGATTTTTTATTATTTTTTTTTTTTAATAGTACAGCAACATTAAATTTGAATTATGAATATATTATATGAATTTATCAGTATGAATTTTTTTTATAAAAACTTAAATATATATAATATATTATAACCAATTTTGTAATTTATTCATTTTTATTACACTCATTATCCGTATGAATATATAAATTTTTAATCTTGAATGAAATTACATAAAAAAACATCGTTAAATTTTTAAAATTAAATCTTTTCTCATGAAAGAAAAACATTCCAGTTGAGTTGTACAATTTTTCAACATAACGAACAAAGTAAAATCTAATTATTATTACAAGCTAGAATTATTTCATAATAAAACAGAAATATAATAATACAATTATCTAATAAAGCTTTGCAATTAATGATCAACAAGTATCATTTATCGAACTATACTAATTATAAGATTTTAAAATCCAAAACAAATATAAAAAGTTATACAAACCTGACGTAATAAATTTCATCTTGAAGCTTTTTTTTTTCATTTATTTCACTATAAAAAAAGAAAAATTCACAAGTGAAATAAAAGTGTTTTATTCTATCTTCCTTTATCTAACAAAACTTCTAATTCTTCATAAGTAATGGATGACCAACTTTTCAGCTTCTTTTAGCCTCTAAAATCGACCCTTCGAATCTGTCTCATCAACATCTTATATAATTGAAATATACTGAAGCTATACTCGTATAAATCTTCATGATTAGTACAAACGAAGAAGTCCAAAGTCTATGTAGAACCTATAACATATTCTCCAACAGGCATCAACCTAATAACGAACGTGACACACATTCGACGATATATCGCGGTATGATCGAACATCGTTAAGAAATTAAGTGCTTTATAATTAACACTGACCTCGTTGCTCCTAATCCGGGTCACCTTCACGTTGTCCGTGAAAATTGGCTCGGTCCACGTAATCGCTGTCCCATTTCTCCCCGTGACCTCTATGTCGTTCGGACAGTCTTTAACTTTTGGCGCCTCCCCTCCTGAAACGCGATAAAATCCAATCAAAAGACCTTTCCTCCACTTAGAAGCGAACGTTTCGAGTAGAGAATAAAGGATTATATAAAGGATATAAGCGACGTGTCTCCTTGGATATGTTCAAATTCAACCCCCCTCCTATCTTTTACGATTCTAGTGGATGTAGGTAGAGAGTTAGGAATTTCGTAGGAAAATTTCATTCAAAATTGAGGGTATAATTTGATAAAGTTTCTTATAATTTTACATTATAAGATTTCTATTAGAATCCGTACAAGTTTCTTTCTTTTAGCACATTATATATATATATACAGAAATATGCATCTGTATGGATAACATCGCGCCATCTCTGCACCACATTTTATAATTTTAAAATTGACATCAATTTTTGCCTGCGAAAATCATGTATATTAAAATCCAGCTCAGTCACAACACCCCCAACAATATTAATCCCTACATTATTATTCCACATGTTGATTACTTAATTAAAAAGGGAAGGGATCGTTACGAATCAGCAAGTTGAAATCGTCGTGTGTTTTGAAATCCTCGTCTTCTCTTTGCCAAGCTAAATAAACGATCTCAACGCAACGCATCCCCCTTCGTAAATCATGGACCACGATTAAAAACTCTTTGCAACGTCAAGGGGGAAGAAACTTCATCAGGCTACGTTTAATTAGTTCCGGTAAATTAAATCTCGAGAGCAATGTGGATCATCGCGAATCCATTTATTCGGACATCGGGCAATGAAAAACGTTACATCCTATTTTGAGGATAGTTGGCGAGTTTCGTTGAATTACGATGGAGCCTCGATATTTGAACGAGATGGAAAATGCATGGAGCAAGGTTCATGTTAAAATTAACGAAATAGCCAATAAATCTTATGTATGAAACTTGAAATCTAGAATTCCGTTTTCCCTAGAATGTGCTCATTTGCGCGGGAATCATTTTATCATATTTATCTTTGAAGAAATGAAACGATGGAATTGTGAATTTTAACATCCATACTCAAGTATTTAAGTAGCTTTTCTTTCTTTCTCTTTTTTTAAGGATTTTCAAATTTGGATCATTATTATTTGATATATTTATGATTAATTTATATTCCAAATTCTAAAATAATTTTCT